ATTGGTTTATCCGTTTTGCTTATACTAATTTGAATTAGTGATTCCTTTATATTCCTATAATTTAATCTTAAGGCTGATACGGCGTCTGCTCTAGCCGACCACCGAGTGTCGTTTATTCTCTTCACATTATTAGTATCTGATAAACTATCCTTCAGAATATTTCATCGTCGAGTGGATGAAGAAAAATACACATATATATATATTCTGAACAAAGTCAAAGAAGTGCAAGAAGTTTCAGAAATGTTAGCCGCATTATCGTAATTTTGGCCTCTACAGTTTCTTATATCAATACCTAGATTTTACAATTATTCCAATACAACTTTTTCTAAATATGCTGAATCATGATTCTCGATTTGAAAGAATCCAAAAAATCTTTCTTTGATATCTACTTGTTTATTAACGAACCGTAAGATTAGAGTCATATGGGTTATATCGGGAGTCAAATCTACAATTATCGAAAAATACAATGCTTCTTGAACTTCAGCAATTAAATACTTCTCGACTTCGCTCCCAATCAAATTTATAAACTCGTCACACACGTACGACAAATAATTAACGGTAGAGGTAACCAGGATTTTTTATTTTTTGTAAATAATTACTCAAAAAACTATCAAATTCTGCAAGATAATCTATTCAACTTAGGAAATTTCCTCTTCGATTCGAATCCGTGTCTTCTCTATGACCATGAAATGCTATTCCCAAACTTAACAAAAGTTTAACTGTTGAAATAATTCGCTTAAAAACTTCCCGCCAATATTTCTGTTCCCCATCTATTTCTGTTCCGCCATGTGTAAGTCGACACGTTTAGAAATTGATAATCGTTTTTTAAAACATAATATAGATTTCAAATGATCTTCAGAAGATTCATGTTCTTTCAAAAATTTTACTACATTTTTCCAGTCTTTAAATTCAGTTAACAATTTTATTTGAGATTTGGAAAAAAGTTTAAATACATAACAGTAAAAGGATTTACTCGTTTCTGAGATTATTAACCATTCTCGAAATTCTTTGCAAGGTTTATTTATTAAATAATATTCTACCATTTCATCAGTTAACCCTTGTGGACGCGAGCGTATTCTTATTACATGAAGACACGCGCAGGGTATATTTTACCCACTATCTATTACATCAGTTTGAATGCTTTCTTATGTAATTATAATGTATAATTTCTTGGAAAAATTTATTTTAGAAAGCATTTAGTACACAAATAGAAATATTTATTTAGTTTATTCTATTACAAACAAAATATTTTAAAAATAAAAGTAAAAACACATTTTGACAGTGTAACACAAAAAATCTATAATGTTTGTTAATCGTCTTCCAAATTTTATTCTTGTTCCTCGATGTTGAAATTATTGTCATTTAAACAATTTTGACACACCGCTTTCACGTGTTGTTTACAAATTAACTTGAAGCACAATTCACACGATGTAGACGTTTTTCGATCTTTGTAACCGCAGTCTTCACACCAGTACGTTTCACCACTCTTTTTTGTTGTAGTTTTCCGTCATTTTTTGGTTTAATAAGTGTTATTCGTGTTTTTATGTCTCTCGACAAAAAGACAATTGTTGAAGGGTAAGTCAATTGCTCTTCTACTAAGTTTATTGATAATGTTTTCAAAAAGTCTCTGCGATAGACACGGTGCTCGAAGTTGTTATTGAATATTGAGAAATCCAAAAAATACTGTGAGTGGCCAACGCAACGATCTTCTGGAAACAGAATAATTACCACACAACTCATCGACGGTATCTATACCTCCTTTGGTAGAGTTATAAAAGGTTATGGCTTCGGGTATTTTTCTCTCTTTAGTATCCAGGTCGATGGAAGGCTCGTGATGCATAGTAGAAACTAACAAGACTACTTTTGGTGGTTTTGTTTTGGGCACATAAGAAACGAGGGTCTTATTGTTTGAAAACCCGAAAATGCTGCTGTATCTTTCTTTACCCTTTGTAGCTACAAATTCCGGCGGAATCTCACGCTAATTTTTACGAATAGTACCAACGCAAGTGGTTTTATGATTGAGAAGTAAGTCATCTGCCAAAGGTATACTCATAAACCAATTATCTATAGTTAGGTTTCTTCCTGTATTGTCGATTGGACTGATAAGGCGAAGAACGATAGACGATGGCTTTGTATCTAACCAAAATGGACCCTTCGGCATATATTTCAAAATTGGCTGTATAAAATGTTCTCGCATCTGCCAGTAAAAAGATTTTTATGCCGAGCGGGCTTGCTTTTTATATACTGGCGAAAGCCACAGCGGCCTCTAAATGGCTCCAACTTTTCGTCTATAGTGCAATATTCTCCAATCATATACGCTGCTTTTATATTGCGTAGAAACAAATTAGAAATCTCCCTAATCGCTGCAAGTTTATCCGTTTCTCTTCTGTTGCGCCTGTCACGCACATCGTCAAGGCAAAGGCATCTGAGAAGAAATACAAATCTTTTTCGGCTCATAGTTGTAATAAATAAATCTATTCCACTGCCGTCTTTGGCCCACAAATCTTTGGTATTTAGCCTACCTGATTTTAGCATACCACTATGGTATAACAAACCCAAAAGAGCCTTTACTTCTACTTTACTGGTTTTAGATGCATCACGTTCTTTTGCAAATTTAGGCTTTTGAAGTTCTATGTAGATATTGGTATAAATTACAATAAGGTCTAGGATATCATCTGTAATCATGAGATTCCAAGTTTCCATGGGAGAAAGCGCTTGTCGTGCATTTCTTGTAGGTCCTGGTAAATTATGGGTCCTTGTTCTTGAGGTTTTTGGATGTGCAGTTCTATACCATTCTCTACCATTTTTTCCAATATAGGCATTCGCTAGAACAGCCAAAGAAATATCATCTTCATCTACTTCGTCATTTACATCTACATCTTCGTCTTCCTGCCCTGACTCTTCAGCATCTTGCTCGGTTTCACTATTATGATTGCTGTTTATAACCTCATCAACTTCCGAATTATCGCTTTCGGAAATAACGTCTTCATTGTCCAAGAATTCATCGGCTAGTTGCTGCAGTTCACTGCTGTCTAGACACACATGATCTGATGGTGTTCTACAAGAGCTGCCTCTTGAATTTGTATTTTTAGATCGAGGTGCTAGAAATTCAATTTGACTGATTGTTTCTTCTCCTTCCTGCTTAATTTGATCTCCTTGAAGTTCAGATTCTTCGAATTCTTTCTCTCTCTTCCGTTTTCGTTTCTCAGCACCGGACATAAATGTTCTTTTCATCTTAAAAAAGGCTATAAAAATGTAAAACAAAATAATAAAGTTACTTATTAAATATATATATCTATTAACTCACCTCACGGAAAGCAATAGCGATTATCCAAACGGGCTAAATTCCCAGCTGTCGCCAAGGTCACAAATAGCAAGAGGAACAATATCAATGCGGTAATAACAACTGGAAAGACTGTTGTGTCCAACCATATTATCATAATTGTTATTGCCGTATTATATATACATAAGTAAGTATAAGTATACTACATCGAAAATGTCTACAATAACATTTTTAATTAATTATGAATAATTCAACAAAATCAAATAAATTAATAATAATTTATTGTTATTAATAATAATAATATAGCACGAGGGGGCTACGCTCCGAAATAATTTAAATATGTTATGTTTTCAAATGGGACTGTTATTTTCTGTCTGAAAATATTTTAGTAATTAAAATGCATTAAGAAAAGAATTTCTTAATGCATTTAAATCTTATCTAAATAAATTCATTTAAATAAAACTTAATGTGTTAATATTATTAAATTTATTGTCTACAGACACACAAATATGTACCAACAAATAATACAGGCTTACCTTTATAAATATATTGCAACAAAATTTAATTTGACAATACAATATGAGATCCGTTTCGATAATTTGAACATTGAAAGAATATTTTTCACAAAATCACAATTAATATATCACCAAATACGTTTCGATGCCTTCACAATTCTGTTCATTCTGTTATTGTCTGTTATTCTTTTCAGATTTAAGGGATCTAGGATGTACCACAGGGCCAAAGTAGTACCAAAGTAGCAAACAAAGTCATATACAGTGGAACCTCGCTTAAAGAGTTTAATCCGTTCTAAAATTTCCGGATTTTTATTCGTATAATGAAACATATTCAAAAATACACATAATATATGTACACAAGTTTTAAAAATGATGTAGTAGACGCGCAATAAATTAATTATCTTGTCGACAACATTTTACAGCCATGGAACTTTTGCCACTACAACGAAATTTGAATCAGTTCTATGTCAACTGATGTCAAGATCTTAATGTTAAAAAAGCACTGCTAATAGATGATCCACATTTACGTAGCATATAGAGAATCAAGCGGAGGAAATTTTCTGATTGGTATATCATCGCCGCTTTTACTATCGCACTATTGAACGTAACAGCGAAAAACTATCCTAATATAGAAGGTACATAAAATGGGCAAAAAAAGATTTGAACTTCCATAAATGTTTTTTAACGCAAAGTAAACATTTGAAACATTTCCGAATACAGTTGATTCCGTTTAATTGGGACATCGGTTAATCCGGGCAGTCGGTTATTAGGGACAAACACAAATTTACTCCGTTTCATCGGGACAGTAATGGACGGACCACGCCATATTGTTCCAGAATTTATATCATATTATATTATGTAGTACGTATATTTTTTTTGTTTTATTTTGTGCAATTTATTAAATAAGATATTAAAAAAAACTAATTCTATATTTTTGTACTAATTCCTATTAAGCGGAATCGACTGTAATCCGCAACTGCCACAAGCTTTCCGTTCAAAGAAATGAGAACTTTAGGGTTGGAATTTGCTATTAAATCATGTTTTAACGAAAAAAGCTCTACCTGTTATGCTAAAGTGACTTCGTTTTACGCAGTTTCGTCTAGGATTTACGTAGCTACGTGTTATGCGTTGTCGATAGGGTTGCTATTTAATATAATAAAATAGAAGAGAGTGAGAAGCAATAATATATATTTTTCATTTCGATAACATTTTCTCCTATATATTAACTTTTAAAAGCAATAAATAAGTTTATAATAGAAAACATAGGTATACATATAAAACCGTTTGAGGATAATTCACGGACGACTTACATATTATTGCACCATGGTAAAAAGGCAGTAAAAATTGTCAAGTGTTAAAAAACGTGGTTCACCATCACCTAAAATCTACGGCAATGAATTTATTAGTATCATAGTTGTATAGAAATGGCAATTGTTTGTTTCTTCGTTGAGGAATGTATCAAATATATATATGTAAAAAAAAATGCGCGCGATCACAAATTCAGAGGTAATGTGTAAGTTACTGTCGCTCTCTATTGTGGTATGACTGGCGCAGGGCCGGTTCCTCCTGCCATATCGTACACTTTCTTCGCCACCTCCGCCGCCAAACGATCCGTATCTTCCTTGGTAGCTGCCTCAGCATATACCCTAACTATATCCTCCGTACCCGAGGGTCTCACGAATGATCTACCCTTGCTATATTTAGCTACCAAAGAATTTATTTCATCTTGCAGACCGTTCGGACTCGTGCAAATCCTCTCCGCATTTGTTGTGGTAATAACATTTCTATCCTACAAATGAAATAGTATTAATAAAGGATTAGTGGGTTTTGAAGGTAGAATTACCTCAACTACGACTTTCACCAATTTATTTGGCAGATCGGTGTATGCTGCTTCCCAGTCCTTCACGTCCCATCCTTTATCGTGCAGTATGGTTTCGACTAGAAGCATATCGGATATGGCATCACCAACGGTCTCATTAATAACATCGATAAGAGTCAGGAACCTTTCGATCGCCTTCTTCTCAGTCTCCGATTTATCTTCGCTCTTCAGCGCCTCCTTCAGCTTGTCTTTAGCCGCCTGGCTGAAGACGACAGTTCCATGACCGTTAGCTTCGAAGTACACACCGATATCGTACTCCAAAGCTTTGTGATGCAAGTGCTTCACGCCGGTTGAGACGCAGGCGACAGGTACTTTAAGTTGCTTCGTGATGTACTCAGTAGATGCGCCGTTGGCGTATGCAGTTTGAATTAAGCCTAAGTTGAGATCAATCCCAGTCTTTTGTAACAATTCCTTAAGATAGCTTGCGATCAGCGTTGCAATTCTATCACCATCCATCAAATGGAAGTTCTCCTCATCGTCCACGTAATAGTATACTATTCTGTCAGCATCTCCATCCACTGACGCGCACCTCCTGTTCTTCTCCACCGGAACACCAGTTGGGAACGATTGCGTCGATTTAACATAATCGGCTCCGCACTTAAAACATAATATCAATAATAAATATCGCTAATCAAAACTAACAAAAATAGACTTTACCATAAAATTCAATTTGCCTGTTCCGATGCCAGCATCGTTGAAATGACGCACATTAAGGCACTCTCCCAGTTGCTCCTGGAATATTTTTATTTTCTTAGATCCTACTCCATTAGCTCCATCGTAGAATATCAGATTCTTGTAATTTCCTTTATTGTATTCCTCGCCCCTGAGCTTCTTAAAGGCAGTCACTAGTTTGATGTAGTATCCCACCTCGGTGGGAACACCATAAGCGTGCCTCGTGTTCTTGCAGGTGACAAAGTAATGTAACTGCGGAGTGGTGACAATGCCAAAGTCAACTGGCTTACCAGACAAGGCCAAAACACCGTCCATCAATGACTTTGCCAAACTTGGACTGCTCGGCCTGGATTTCAGAAAGATACATAAATGAGTATACATGCGTTGGCTATAAACAATTAAATCACTTTCACCTTGTATCTTTTCCTATGAAAATCTCTACCCTATTTGTCATGTCAATGTTGAACTCATTGACGATTTCCTTGATCACGTCCTCCAATTGATCATCACTGAAATATCACACTGTATCAAATCTCTTTAAATTTTCATTTTCTCAGGTACTCACCCAACATTGGCGAATTTCGTTGCCCATTTCTCCCAGCTCTGCTCCAGCATCTCGCCATGTGGATCTACCAGTTTCACACCATTATCAGGTTCAGGGTTGTGGGAAGCGGTAATCATAACACCAATCACAGCTGAAATCAAATAATTGATTTAAAATACATACGAAATCAAACAAAAAGTATATGTCAAGCAATGAAACAAGTAGTTTTTATGGTAAATGTTGTTGTATAGACACATTATATGAAAGTTGGAATTAATTTTAATTTTAAAAAATAAATAAATTATTACTTAGTATTAAAAAGATAATATACAATAAAGCCAACAAAAGCTTTTCGAAAAGTAAAAGTAATGTTCTGCTCTATATACTTTAACATTCTTAATGAGTATACTTTCATATATCATCTTTAAATTAACAGTTATTTCAATTAAAGATATATTAAAAATTAATCATAATATAAATAAATAAACGTTGAGACTAATTATAGTTGAAATATTGAAAACATAGTTAAAATGGATTCACTTCATAAATATTATCTTGAATAATATTCTTAGAACACAATTTTTTTTGCAATATAAAATTTTTGAAAATATCTAAATCACCAAAAATAATTTCATGGATAACGTGATGAGAATTTAATAGAATTTAATGTTAATGAGAATTTAAAAGAGAAACTACATGTGAAAGAAAAACTGGTCAAACAAGTATTGAAATTATAATACATTCAAAAAAGTTCACATTGCATTAATTAATTAATCTTATTTTCTATTTAATTATTATTTAACTAATTGCATTTTCTAAAAAAAAATGTTATTAGTTAAATTCTCACCTTTATGATATTAAATATAAAATTACTTACAATCATTTGAAAAACCAAATTTCTTTAAATTTTTTTAATCAACTAAAATAATATTACCTATTTTTCTAAATAGAGATTCAATAAGATACTTTTCTTTAATATATTGTTAACATATAGTTTCAAGATTTTATAATAAATTAAGTTTAGTGACTGTAGTTACCCGTAATGCTTTGAATAAACTTTCACTTTTAAATAACATTGAAAATTTAATGTAGATAATACATAAATATATAACTTTAAATATAAATAATATAATAACCACATTTTATCATTTGAAATTAGCTTTTAACATTATAAATAATACTATATTATTGAAATAAAAAATTTAAACGATATTCATTTAAAAATAATAAAAACAGTATTATGTAAACCAAAGGCCTTTCAGGTCATTATAATTTAATATTATTCTTTACTTTATATTAAATTTGACAATGACATTTCTTTATACTGACAACACTACAATCAATTTAATAATTTGTGTGATTAACTAACTTAAATGTTAAAATATTATGTAAGTATATATATATATATGTAAATATATTTGTTTATATAATTAATACATAAACCATGAATATAAATGTATAATACATTCATAATTTTATTGATCCATATGGTTTATTTTATTATGTATGAACCGATAACTTCTTTCATTATATATATTATGTCATTAAAAATTACTTAAGTATCTTTTGCAAAGCAAAGTGACATTATAGTTTTAGTTTCTATTGAATATAATTAGTGTAATTTGTTGGTAATTTATATAAGGAAGTTTTTCAACTAGATAATAATGTGAATCACCTAAATATTTTTGCTAGCCAATTATTGAAATAATTTACCTTTCTTGTATCGAGCCCTAAGTACTGCCAGCAATCCCATCCGGTACATGACATATCCCAGTTTGCTTGCCCTAAAAGCAAAACATAAAAATTAAGGTGGTTCAATGTATTCAGATTATAACCTAAAAATGTTACTTTCATCCCTTTGGGTCTGTACTTACTTGGTTCTAAATCCTGCAGTTCCATATTGAATATCGGCCTTCTCTGTTTTCGGGTGCATTTCTCTGGCGAAAGCGTAAACCGTTCTAAAACTTGCCATGTTGGTCGGAGCCGCTCGAACTTGCTCACATTCACCGACTATTGATGATGTTCGTAGTAGGGGATTGGAGGAGACCTCTGCAATGAGTAATAGTAGTAAAAGACCGTAGTGCGGAGCCGATGGCATTTATGGTATATTAATAATAGGGAAAAGCGCTTTCACTCTCTAACGCACAACGAATGCACCAAACTGTGGGAACTGAGTGCGCTTAAAAGTTGAATAGGTTATCACCGTTACATTACCTTTGCTTCGCACCCGAACTTCAGCCTTTTCGGCTCAACTACTGGAATCACTGGCACGAACCGTGCGCCTCCTGTTGTACGTCTGCTAACTTTCTATATCTCGTGATGATAAGATTAAAATATTTAAACTCCGTGTTTGTAAACAGTTTCTTTGAGATGTACTTGTTAAATGGCAAACGTTGGTTGGAAGTATTCGAATCGAATGTGCACGCGCGAAACTGACGACGATGTCTCTGAGAACGAACGTCTCCGCATAGAAATAAGGCTGTGTAGTAAGGCCGAGCTGATTCATGCTCGCCTTCCGTATTCTCAACGATTTAGAGAACGACGCAGGCAACGTTGCATTTATTTATATCTCTGCATTTTAATTACTCGGGATTATGAGTGGGCTAGCAATTATCTAGATTCTAGGATGTCATGAATTGGCATCTTTCGAATGGACCAATTAGGTAAAAGCGCGCCTCTGCGTATGACCAATTGCTGTCCGGAATTTGATTGGCCACGAGGTGGTGGGGATCGTTCCGTCAATTGATTCAATTGAAATGTTCTAATTTACAATTTATGGCAATATCCATAACACACTTAGTCAAAATATTAACAAATCATATCATCATAATAAACAATTATTACAACTGTAAATTAGTTGTAAATTTTACAGATTTAATATAATTATACATTTTTATGAATTAATTATTTTGAGGGGAAAGACCTCGTTCAATAACCCATTGTGTAGTTCATGAAGACAATAAAATATTATTAATTATGTATTATTCTTTTTGTTTAAACTTAATCTTCTTATTATTTCATAAACATATTTATATAATCAGCACTGTTTTCTTATTACATTTACAAATAAATCAGCTTTTTTTATAAAATTATAATATAAATATAAGGTATATAATTTATTGTAAATTATTTTTGATAAAAGGGTAGAAATACTATAGTCGATAGGACTTTAGTCCTAAATCGGCCAATAAAAATTGTTAAATAAATACTATAGAAATAATATATTTGACAACAACAATGGCATTTCTTTAAGATGAAATTAGTTTTATATTCTGTCAACTTTGTATTCAATTTTTTTAATATCAATTTAGAAATAATAACAATTGAAATAATATAAAGACATTCAGTTCTAATAAATTTAACAAGAAAATGTACATTTCAATTGTGTCAATTTACCATTTTTTGTTTGACATCTGTTCCTATAATTTAGCGTAATTTTGCTTTTATTAAAATTAAAAAAAAATAAATTTTACCTTATTCAATTCAGATTTAATAGAACGAGACCACTAAACACTATTTAACGTGATCGACGATGTTAAAAATTAAATGAAATTGAAAATTACATTTTTATCTCAATTGTATAAAACAAAATATTTCATTGAATAGAACTCAGTTTATCATCAATTTTATCAATTAGATAAAGCTGTTGCATTGTTAAATGAATTAAACTAATAATCTTGAATTTCAGTGAATTTGTGTAAATTGTCATAATCTTAGTAAATACCCTAAACAAAATAAACAATGCAAATAAAAATGATTATTTTAGTTATGCATGATATGATATGAAACATATATTTCAAAAATTATGTTTCCAATCAAAAGATAATCTTACGAAAAATACTGTAAATTCCAAACCCTTGGAACATTAAAAATATACATAAGGTTACGACCGGTAAACGACATTCAGAAAAACAAGATCGCCTTGAATGCTGTATAAGATTAAAAAAATATTGGAATGCATTTGTCAGAATTTTTAAACCGATTTGAATACATTTACATGACAAGTACTTAACATTGGATACAGTGCAGTTTCGAGCTATATTAAAAATTACAATGAATGAAGAAAAGATAGAGATTTAACTAAGTTTACTTAAATTGCAATAAAGAAATTTAAATGTAAATTAAGCCAAAAACAAACATTAAATAAATTTACTACAATTCAAGTAATAAACTGGAACGCTAAATAAGACAATTATGAATGTATCTTTTTTTTTAATCTAGTTGACGTTATATATTTTTAGAAAATTGCTATAAACATGAATACGATAAAAATATTTATACTGCGTTTATTAATAATTTTAATTATATAATAACAAAATATTAGTTACTTGTTCTGAAAATTGAAACATCCCGTTTCGACACGTCTGTCTGGGAGACTGTTATATATTTAAAGATCTAATAATACCCTCATTAAAGTCAATGGTTGAAAAGAGCTTTGTCAAAATGTCAGATTGATGGTTTGTTGACCCTATTATGCATATTATTTTTGGACCTTGGATCTTTAATTTTAACTACAAGAATTTAAATTGAGAATTATTTATTGCGACTGCACCAAACCAAGCGAGAAAAATAAAAAAAAATGCTACATTCCATTGAGTTTTTCTCCGTACGTTTTATTACTTCATATATTTAGGAAAAAAATCAACTCAATATTGAACTTCTTTACATGAAAATATGCGTCTTCTGGAACAAAAAATGATGGCATCATGTATATATTATCAATAATGTAAGTTAAATAAATAATAATTATAGTGCGGAAAGCCCGTAATTTTTGTCATTTCTTTTTCTTTAAATATTTATGTAAATGTATGGTTCTTTTACATTATTATAATTAACAAGTGAAAATATATATATTTTTAACGAGTTGCTAAAGGACACTTAGATTTTAATTAAATATATCATATTGATGTAATCAAACATATTATAAAGGCAACTTTTTAAATTTTGTTTTCAGTCACGGTGACTTTTTATTATTATTATATTTGTTAAATCCGATTTGTTGTTAAAATCCTAATATGAAGTCAGCTTTAATTTGCTCAGTTTTAATTGCTTATTAATATAATATGGAGGTCACATCTTTTAAATATGATAAGTTCCTTCTAACTTGCGTTTAGAGCAGACAAATTTCTTCCTGAGGGAAGTAGCAAATCCATCAACAATAAATACGTAATATAGTAACGTAATTAGAATAGGAAGATCACAATAAATTCCAAAGAGTATAGTCGTTAGCATTTTGGTCCAATAAAAATTGTTATATAAATATTATGGCAATAATATTATTTATTGCTGGAATGCATAAAGACATATGGTCAATAGCCATTTTCAACTGTTTTCTTTTTCTTTAAATATGTTTTATTTTTTAAATTTGTTTTATGTCACTGTTGAATACATATTATTAGTATTTAATTTACGTATATTTCATGCAATGCGCAAACGCATGCAAATGAGTTACTAGCGTGTTTATCAAACATTCAAATGTATTTTCTGCACATAAATAAATGAATCTTCAACAGCTGAATTGCCGCGACGTGACGTGCCATATGTTATTGTACTTTGTTTACTGATGAACTGTTTAAAAATGTTATTGATTTATACTACTAAATTATTTTGTATATGCAGTAAGACCTCTTTTCGCACTTAAGATGCTTTCCAGCGCTAAACAAAACACCGTCAAATTAAGTCATTTTAACATTTAGTATGTTAAATTATATTTTTTAGGATTCGAGTATACCGCATTATATCGAATCAGCGTTAGTAGGTTTTTTTAAAATTATCTTCTTATCTTTAAAAGCATGAACCATATCACGTAATTTGTAACTGTTTATATTTGTTTTATACGACTGTTACATTAAACAATATTATTATTTAAATAATAGTAAATAAACCAAGTACTAACAATATGTTTACAATAACTATAAAATTACATGCAAAAAAAAAGGATGATACAACAAATTAATCTTAGGAACGTGATCTTTCTCTCAAAGCTCTAAAAATCACAGAGATGTTTGCAAATACACTGTGCATAATGTGTACCTTACAATATTTGTATTTATTCAATAGGCAAAAAGTAAATATACGTTTTAGATTTATTCTTAGGCTGTAAAAGAAAAATAGTGAAATGTCTATTTGTTCGTTTTTTTTTTTCGGTTTTAGAGACATCGATTAGTCCGGTTTCAACCAGTCAATTTATTATTCACACTGATTTAATCAGCAATAAGTCGTAATTGATGATGGATAAAAGTACTGGAATTTAAGAGAAATAATGCAGAAAATTAAATTATTTATATCTATAAAATTTTCTAATGTTCATATATATAAGAAGAAAATTGTTGAAATAATTAATATGTAAATAATATTAGCATACTTATTATTTATTTTCATGCAATATAGATTCATTTATTGAATTTATACAACCTTATAGAATTAATATTTGTCGAATGAAACTTATAAATTATTATATTATACAAGAATAATTTTACATTATTAGTTTACATATATTGTAAAATTTGTTCTGTACTGATCGAAGTTCCAATGATGCACTATTATTACTTAATTAATGATGTACGTATTCAACCAGAATTACATAGTTGTTCATATAGATTTGTTTGTATCCTGAAAAACCAATCCGATTTGGAACGACAAATTGCGAATGATCGATTGATCTGCTCATATTCACATACTGCAATTTACATATTCGATCTGTTACATCAATATGAATGCATTATTCATTATTATACGAAATTGAAAACTGTTTTAATTCAATTTCCAAATAATTGGTTAATAATTTGTTATTATTATATGAAAATAAAACGAAAAATAAAAGACTTATCTATCGTATAAAAAAATCAATTCATAATAAATTGTCATTACTTCTAAAAAAAGACACCTGTGCTTCTTATGAAGCAGAGCTCTACCTATATATATATATTTTGTTTTTTGCACAGTTAAATTTTTCTTAGTGTTTATATGTAGATGTTTAAAGGTTAGTGTACTGTTAAAGATTGGGAAAGATAATCTATTCGAAAATTATTACATTGTATTGGAAAGTTATGTTATTTTGAAGGAACATTTTATCTATGATTGTTGTTAGTATAGCCTTTCCTGAAGCCAACAAAATAAATGTGTATATTGTTCCGTTTGTCTCAGGTAGTCGTTCTGAAGAAGCAAACTTTCGAACAAACTAAATAGTTGAAAGAAACTATACCTACTGACACCAACATTCCGAGAAATTTCTCTTACTATTATTATCTTGCGTTTTCACATGTTTTCCCTATTTAGAAAATCAGATTTCTTGGTAGGTCTCTGAAAAGTCCTTTTTTGCTTTTCATTATTATGAAATATGTTTAGAGAATGCGAAAATATGTTGAATCCTTCAAAACCAATCCGATTTCGAACGACGCAATGCGAACGTGATATTGATATTCAAATACAAACTTTGCATATGTACATATTCGATCTGTTACATCAATATCAGTGAATATTTTATTTATAATAATAATGTTTATTGCATTAGTCGTGCAAAAAAAACATATACAGCAATAAAAAGAACAAAATAAATATATACAATTTCAAAAAAGTCAACTACAAAGGGCTAATTTATTTATAATTATTCGCGATTGAAACCTTCCTCATTGGTTTATTCAAATAATAAATAAAATCATATGGAAATAAGGCGAAAGAAACTTATACCAATGTTTTTTTTTCTTTCTTTAAGCATTTCATAAGAAATTATCATTACTTCTAAATAAGAGCCAACATTAATAACTAAGCAATTATCTTGTTTTCAAAATACCTTTTAGCATATGTATCCTTCTTTTTTCTCTCTGCTGGAAACTTTAGTTAGTGTTAGTTGTTAAATACGTTTGGTCTACTCTGAAAATGAAGCGTTGAAAATGAAGGAAATTTTATTGAAGTGAAATTTTGTAGTTGTTTGTTAATAGAAAAGCTTATCGCTTTCTTCTGCAAATAAAGAAATGTGTATTTTTGTATATGGCCCAGGTAGTCGTTCTGGAAAATCTTTGGTTCTCCCATTTCGAACAAACTGTAGAGTCTCTGTAGAGAAAGTGGGTCTATATCGCAAGCCCGACAACCGAAAGACCGTCTATTGAAATCCCGACTTTCGAAATCCCGGCTGTATTAAAATCCTTAACTTTTTTAGATTTAACTCTATTTTCATAATATTTTAATATGAAAGAAAAGATAAATTTCTACTAGCAACAATGCCATTGCAAACCCGAACGTCATGTTGACAACAGATAATATTAACTACGTTTGTTATAATATAATTTTACATATAATTTAATTTTACATTATTTGTTCGGGTTTAGAGTTATTGTAATGTTTTTCAGTAACATTTGAAGCAGTAACCTTTGGAAAGGTCATATAATAATAAAGATAATTTCATTCATAGTTGACATTATAAATGATAGCACAACGTTACCTGACTATTTTAATATCTTTATTAGACATTTGTGGTAAAATGAGAACAAGGTTATTTTCTGTAAGTTCAATTTAATTATTGAAATACGTAAACTTTGTATTAATTATAAATAATAATAATAACATTTATTGCAAGAAATTACCATAATACAAACTCCACAAGCAGCTAAATTAATAATATTTTCTTTATTCAACCATTACGTTACGTTATATTTGTTTAAGTTGAAACATTTCAATTATTTTTTATTCACAAAATCCAAATGAGAATCAATAAGATTCATCGAGGAACTAAATATTTCCAAACAAATTGAGGAATAAGATAATGAGGAAATAGATTTCTAAATAATAATACTGAAATATGTAACAAACATTTCTTTTATTTACAAATATATTTGTACGTTATTTTTTTTTTGTTAAAAAAATACAAATGATGTTAATATTAAATATAAGATCTCTAAAAAATTTCATGTCAACATGTATAAAAATGGACGGATATTTTTATATCACAAGAAATTAAAAAAACAAACAAAGAAAATATGAGAAAATAATGAAATTATGTACAGATGAGACTTAATCTATTGATATAATATCATGCATTTATGCAAGCTAATTGTTGGTCCTAAGAAAATGCTTTAATAATTGTGACAGTTTTTTTTGTACACTATTTTAATATAAATGTTAATGCCGTAGAACCAACATCGCGAATAAAGATGAAAATAACAAGGCGATTATAGATTGTTGCAAATTGGAAGCACCGGCTCTGCAATCAACAACTCTGCGAGCCCTCATGAAGTCCTTGCCTAGGTAATCGGAATAATATCTCATTTCCCTTGGTATGATCTGTAGCTGAGTGGTGGCATCTTGGAAGATCAGATCTGTGTACGGTGGAGGCGAATGGAACATACTGAAACTGAAGTACACAACAATTAGTATGTTAGATTTGAACATTTGCATTATTTAAGTATAAAATTGTTGTGTATTCAGATATTGATAATATAAAAGAACAGATATAAAATTGTTTTATATCAATTATTGTTAAAGCTCGTACCTGAATTCGTCGGGAATCTTCCTTCCATAATAAGTTTGTGCGTATAGAAAGAGATTGATGTAAGAGTTGATCTGAGTCTCGTTATAGGCGGTGCTTCCTCTAGTGACGATAGCGTTCGCCTTTACTTTACCCAAATTGCACTTCTCGTAATCGGTGACCTCGGCCCTTGTGCCATCGGGGCACAGTAACTCAAAATCATCCATCAGGGCATCCCTGGCCCACCATTCCTTACGTTTACCACCGGTATTTTCATTCACTGTAGTATGTTTCACGAATGCCACATGTCCTCCGCCTTCCACCAAGCACCTGAAGGCGCCGGTGTGTCCATAGTAGTCTTCGGAAGCATCCCTTCGGCAATACCGGTACGCAGTTCCGTGGCACAAATGGCACATATTATCATATGGTACACCCGTATTGTAATCGGAGCTTAAAGCTCCTGGAATGCAGCTCTTGGTGAAGTATTCGGCTGCAGCGCGAATGCTGTCGCAGCCGTAAGGTCTAATCCATCCGTTGCTCAAGAGGTACGCCAAAGGATACACCCAACCAGCAGCTGTATTTATACCACCATGGCACGTATTTTTATCTGAAACGCAAAATATTTTATTAAATCAAAGTTTTTTTAAATATTTGAATTAAATATAACAAAATGACTAAATACAGCATCGCATAGCGTGGCTTCGATCAGTGCGGATTTAATATTTCATAAAAAACTAAATTTTAATTGATCAAAATAAAAATTAATTCTAAAAAAAAGTAGTAAACAAAATTATTTTTGTGCGATTCGTACAGTTTCAAACAGTGAGGGATATTGGTGGAACCGATTTCCCGCAGTATTCGAAGTATTGCTGTATTTTTAAACATAAATTTCTAAGGTTTCTAAATTATAAATAACATAAATAACACAAAGGCAACAAAATTAGAAATTCCTAAACAACAATATAAAACATAATATTACATGTTTTCAAAAGTTCAAGTACACTCATCGCTCAGTTATGACTATATACATAAATTATATCCGCTACGTGATTGAAAGTTACTAGTACAATTTGTTGGTAACACGTCTCTTTTCGTTCACTCGAACGTATGAAGTACGAATGTACACTTTGGGTACATTTGTCATATGCGCGTGGATATTATTTATTTGATTCAAATTTTAAGAAGAAAAAGATAACTTAAACAGAAGTCATATATATATAATGTAAATGTTCATTCGATATTTGTTCCGTGTTTATACATACCAATAATTGTAAATACTACATACTTTCTCACAATATACAAGAATTGAGTCATTAAAAGAGAATTAGTGTAATAAATACTGTTACTTACTTTTGAGATACGTTAATTCTGTGTCTGGATCAGACTCTTTAGCAACGGCAACAACGTAATACTCTGGTTTTCCCAAATTGTAAACTTCGCTTATGAACGGCACCAAATTGTAATTCAAACCTCCGGTGTATACGTCGCTAGCATCAAGCACAGTGACATCGGCCTTGCCCTCTTGAATTAACTTCATACACTCGTTCTGAGAGAATCCCTTGAAGCAAATCATCTCGGGCTTCAAAAGTTGAGCCTTCAAGGCGATCTGCAATATCAATTAAAAAAGCATTAAAACTGGAAATGATTATAAAGATATGTCACAATTACCTTCATCTTAGTACATTTTTCCATTTCCACATCGGAAGTAACGCAAAGTGTCATAGTATTAACAGGACAATCCCTAATTCCCATGACAATATCCATGTAGCGACCCAAGAACTCAGTGTAAAATTGCTGCTTTTCATCTAAAGCTTTGAAGTTGCGAGTCGAATCCTAAAAGGCGAAACATTAATAATCTAATATATAATGAAGTCGTTGCGGAGCTACAAACTTGGAACAGAAGGTTCGATTTATCCCCGAATTTAGGAGACGATTCGAACAAATTAAATCTCTTCTCGAAATAAGACTGGTTTTGATTGTGACTCGGCACGTTATAGTTATCATCGCGATCCCTGTTGTAAGTAGTCCTATCCTCGTATGGATCAATGTTGATGCCGTATTGATCGCGGTTAATAATATGCGGATCTCTTGAGAAAGGACCTTGTTCGTAAGGATTGTTGCTATTGCTGTTATCGTTCTGGTTCCTATTATCGTTTTGGTTCCTATTGTTGCTGTAGTTATTCCTGTAGTCGTTGTACACCTGGCGTTTATTCCTAGATCTCTCAAAATCATCTTGTAGGTTGCCATCGGTCACGCCGTACATACTGGCCAACTTCTCCAAGAACTTCTGGTACTTCTTACGGATTTTAGAATTAACTGCGGAGCTCGTCACTATAGCGTTATTGGGCACTGTACCCCAATGGCAAGATCTATAATCATCCACCGATCTTCTGGACCCATCCTTGCAGAGCAACTCAAAAGCATCTCTGTTTAAATCGCCTGGAGATTAAGATTATCTTATTAAATATTGTTTTTTTAGGTAATATACAAATTGCTTACTGAACTCATCAGTGTTAATCATATCTCTGACAGTGTAATGTTTCAGGAAGGCCACTTCTCCCACTTCGAGTAAACACTTAAAGGCACCTTCAAAGCCGGCGTATGGATCGGAATCAGTGCATTTACCACCTGGCACTTTACCGATGCACAGGGAACACAGTTTATCAGAATTATCACCAATAGGGTTGTACTTGTCAGAAAGAGAGTTCACGGCGCATGAGGGACCGAAGAATTCGGTCGCAGTTTTCACATGATTGTTGCAATCCAAAATCTCCATTCCGCCTTCTTTCATGAACTGAAAAATGTATAAACTAATAAAACGAATCCAATTTATCGACTGCAATTACTTACAGTATATATGGGTAACGTCCATCCGGCCATCGTGTCGACACCTGGGAAACATCCTTTCAAATTTCGCATATCCCTCATAGACTGGACATGCTTAAGAGAGTTCTTCTTTATCACGGCTACCGAATAGTGCTCGTTCAGACCTCCTTCGGTAAGCTCTTGAGATATGGGTAACAAACTGTTGTACCTTCCTCCAATGAACACTTCGCCGGGATCCAAAGAGGTCAGCGTTACGTTGCCAGCGTCCAGCAAATGCAGACATTCGGCTTTCGTAAATGCCTGGTAGCATGACATTTGGAATGTGGTGTATCCAATCCGAATGCCATCCATTTCCACGGCCCTTGACAGACCTTCGCATTTCCTCTGCTCGCTCGGATTCACCGTGCACCATCGCACGACAGTCTTTCTATCACTAAAAGCATCCTGGTCTATCTTCTCGTGAAGATATTGTGCTATAAATACATTTAAATTACAATATAACAATAAATTTTAAATCATATATGTTAAGTTACAAACGTATTTTTAATTTCCACATTCAGCGATGTTCTAAATTCAACTTTTAACTCTTATTTGAATTATTATTATATTATTTTCAATTGAAATTAACGAATTTTCATACTAATGAGCATCATATAATAAACAATTTAATAATTAATTATCAATATACAAATATAGTTTTAATTTTAATTATATTTAAGAAAAAATGAAAACTTCTTTCACTTGTCAAGTTCAGAAAACAAATGAAAAATAAATTAAAATAATACTGTTTAGATAGTAACAAACTAATTGGTTATTGTATGTTACAAAAATAAATATGTTTTGTAATGTAGTTTATATAATAACAAATTAACTATTAACTTTGTGATAAATCATATATATTAACACAAATAATTTTACTTATTTATATTTTAATAAATAGTCAATGATTGGTCAGTGGAATTATGATTTATGTCTATAAAATGTATACATAATTATATTTTAATGAAAAAGTTCTTAGAAATTTGATATTTAAATATACAAGATTAGAGTAAATTTCTCGTTATTTTACGATGTTATGAATTGTTTCTTTAATTTTATATAATATTGTTATCAATGTCAATAAATGTACTGAATAACAGAAACTGAATACCGCTCGTTATTAATTAATTTTGTTTTATTTCTAAAACATTTATGTATCCTATGAACATTTGATGTCTATTTTGAAATTTGAACCCTTTGTAAGAAAACACATATAATCCTATAGATATATAGAGAAAACAAATGCCACGCCTTCCAGAACCGTAGTTATTTACCTGTGCTGAGTCCAACAAATAATAAACAAAAAATAAACGCGAAATCCATCGCGTTCAAGGATCGAAATCAATGGTAGTAACTTCTTCAGACTGTTTGAAAATTGATTAAAAATGAAATTTAAAACACACTAAGAATATCGGTGGTCAACAAAACAATGCATCTACAACCACCTACGATTATGTTTTAATGGTGCTTAATTGGTGACTCAACCACCTACCAACTGAAGAAGAAACAGGTGTGTTTGGTAGCTGTCATATTTAAACAGTTTGGCGGCAAATTTAAATTCATTTTTTGTATTAATCGATGAATAAATACAACAATTATAGTTATTTTTATTAATAAATATAAATAATTTCAAATAATATTGTACCAGATGTTCGTGATATTAATTAATTGTAAAATTGTTCTAATAATATTTTAAGGTTATGTGCTTTATTTTTGTTTACTTGGTTACTTAAATCAGCGATGTCTTTGGAAAGAATCTTGTATCTTGTGAATGCGACAAACGGATCTACGAAATCAAATGAAGACTTCGATATAAATAATTCTAAATGCATATTGGGGATCAGTCAAGGACTTACATCTTTATTGTATGACCCCAAGAAACAGAAAATCAAGAACAGACACTTGTACATGGTAGAGTAAGTGCATTTGCCAATTATATGGAAATACTGAATTATGCTTTTCAGAAATTTATCAAAGATCTCTGCATGCAAAAGGGTGACCACTTTGCAATTACAGAAGAGTCATGCAATATATATTTGAACAGTTTAGAATTTTCTGAAGATGAGTTCCAATTCAAGAAAGAACTTGCTGAACCCAATGAGATTTTAAATTTCTTTGAAAACCAATTAAACAAGCATATAAGCAAGCAAGGGGCTATTGGTAAAGTTGTAATTAAATGGTATTGATTGTAATTAAAATTGTTTGTTTTGTAGATTTCATAAATAGGAAAGATCAAGAAGCTTTTGGACAAGACTTTGAATTTACTCCACTTAGAACTATAGAATATCACACAGATAACAAAGAGCTTTTATCTAGTTTGATTTCAAAACAAGATATTCCAATTGAAAAGTAGTAGAGATGAATAACATTTTGGTGATTTTGCTTTCATATTGATTTAAGTTTTAATTTTGCAGATGATTTTTCGTCGAGGCAAAAACGCGTGGATTTCGCCTATGCGATAATGAATCTCAAAGTACCGAATGCGAATCGTATCTTGAGATCTCTGATGACGCAATGGA